AATATATTTTCTCATAATGATTCAGAGAGCGAAGCACATCCAATCGAACGGAAAAAAAGAAAAGAAATTTGAGATTGAAAAATGTTTATTATTGGAACGGAAAAATCGCCCGGTTGTGTTTCAGTATTCAATCCGTAGAATCACAAGAAAGTATATAACCTATGAAATGATTATAACTGATGAAAGATAAAGAGTTTTGAACAACTTAAGATTAGACTTCAATCAAATTGCCTCCTAAACCATATGGAAAGTGTTTTCTTGATAATCAGCTTTACATTTGTTCTTAACACATGTGAAGGTAAGGAAACGAGAGAAACACTAAATCAAAGTGAAGCGGAGATTAAGTTCTGAAGTAACGAGCGAGATTTTTGATAACTGATTATGATTTTGATTTCGAATAGTTAAAGAACACGAATGGGGGAAGTAGCAATACGTAACAGATTAACACATAAATGATGTTGAGTACTTTGCAAAGGTACATCAGAGTGACGGAGATGATAACAATGAAAACAAGAAAGGCTATCAGACACTAACCCATTTTATACTATTTTGGCGCTTTGAGCCATTGAATAGAAAATAGATTTTTTGTTGGCCAAAAGATTCTGAGGAGAATCGTACTCGGCTGTTCTACCCTGGTCCAACACAAGTACTCTGTAAATGAGTTGTTAGAAAAGAAATAGTAAAACTCAAAATGTCTACTTGTCATAATCCATTATAGTGTTCAACCGATGAGCTATTGTTATAACTGTCGAACGCACAAACTCCTTTCTGATGGTTTGCTGAATACATGTTTTCATCAAAAATATATTTTTTCCGGAGTTTACTTGAATTAGAGCATCTGTATGAACATCGACGGCAGCGGTAGCTTCATCTAATACCAGAACTCGTGATTTACGAAGCAAAGCTCTAGTCAGGCAAACAAGTTGACGTTGACCAACACTGGAACCATAGAACATTAAACTGTACATTCTTTCCAAGCATCTACCTCAAATTGTCTCCACTTTCGTCAATTCGGTGATCCAAGCCTAGAGACAAACTTTCTACAAAAGCTTTCAAGTTGGAATGTTCTAGAGCAGCCCATAAATCAGGATCGTCATAGTATCCAACCGGATCTAAGTTGAATCTCAAAGTTCCGGAAAACAACACAGGATCCTAAAATCAATCTTATGAGTCATAAATATTCTATTATGAAAAAACCTGAGGGATGATCGTCAAGTTAACACGAAGATCATGTAATCCGATTGTTGCAATATCGATATCGTCAATAAAAATTTGTCCTCCAGACGGTTCAATTATTCTGAACAGAGCCAATGCTAATGATGACTTTCCAGCTCCAGTCCTTCCAACCACACCAACCTTTTCTCCGGGAATGATATTCAGATTTATATCCTGGAAATGAGATTAGTTGCTGAACAATTTCATCCGTGATTCAATTACCCTAAGAACTAAATCAAGACCTGGTCTATATCTTGTGGAATAATCGTTGAAAACAATTCTTCCCTTCGCTGGCCATCCTCTAGGAAGTAATCGTTCGCTTTGCCATTTAGCCTGAAATCAATTTTATGAATTAACTGTATCATTTCGACGTTATGAACCTCTGGAGTTAGTTCTGTGTACTCACGCACTCTCTCAACTGAAACGATGTTTGTTTCTAAATCAGAAAGCTTGAGAATGAATAGACCCATCATGAACGTAATCTAAAATTGCAGTTTCATCTCTCTTCCGATTTTTCAAATGTCTTACACTTAATATAGAACTAACTGATAATCCGATAAAACCAGCATTCATTGAGCCATCGTATTTGGCTAACACGGATAAGAGTGCCGTCACTAAAACAATGGCAGAGGCTATTTAAAAAAAAAAAGAAGAAAAATCAAATTCCGAACCGAAAATTAAAAAATTTCCGAGAACTTCTAATCGAACTCCTAACCAACTAGAAGATATCATTGAGAAATATGAGCATTTTGTGAAAGTATAAAGCTTATCCCTGTTTTGCTTAATGAACATATCGGACCAGCCAAATGCCCGAATAGTAGAGACTCCCTGAAAATGATGGTTCATTTGACTTGTCATAAGAAACAACCAAAAAACCTGAATGGTTTCGCCAAAATGTGAATATATAGGAGGTCTGCTGAGGGAAGCTAATCTTCGGAGTTGTCTTGAGGAACTAATGAAATATTTCTAAACAGTCTTTGTGAAATTTCAAAAAACAACAAAACTACCAAAAACATCAAATAAACAATGAAAATTGGAATAATGAAGGCTATAAAGAGCGGTGTAGATAGAGATACGATGATACATGCCTATAACATGACGATGGTATCAAGCTGTCAATAGACTAGATCAAACCTGCGCAATGACAAGGAATGTAGTGAAGAGGAAGCGGAAGTTTAGTGGTAATGTCGAATCGATCACGTCAATATCCTTAAATACGATGTTTAAAGAATGAAGCAAAAGTTGGAACTTACTTTACTTAAGCGATTCAATATTCTCCCTACTGGAGTCACATCGAAGAAGCTAGCAGGACTTCTCAGAATGTTATGCAATAAAGGTTTGTGAAGGTTGTAAGAAGCCCTCACTCCTCCGATGACAAAAAAAACCAAGCCAAGGGTGAAACAGAGTACTAGAAGGAGTGGATTGGATTACGTTCAAATGACAGATTTACCATCAGTTGATCCCAACCCCATGAATCCTAGGAGACGATAGAGCACTGACATGTGTTCTCCATCTTCAATATTATCGTTCGACCTACAGTTTTAAAATATTTTTTTGATATAATTGTATTTGCACCAATCAGTCAGCCATAAGGATCTAGACATTGCGAATACAGCGCTGAGAGCACTCGTTACCACGAATGGAATGAAGTAAAGAAAAACTCCCATGGACTGGATGTAATCGTTATAAATGGACAACTTGACCTGAAATTTTGAGCTGAATTAATACGGTTCAAATGTTTCATCAAACTCTTCCAGTTTCAGCAAACTCTTTCTTGATAAGCTTATCTTCCTCATTAGGTTCCCTGAGTAAAGAGTCCTGCAAATTTAAGATACAATGCATATAAAATTCTATAAACCTTCATATTTTTTGGAGAGGATTTCCGATTGATTCGACTAGCTTGTGATTCTCGGTCAGCGTTTTTATCAGCATCTTCCTCATTATCGGAAACAGCAAGTTCAGTGCTGCAATTGATATCTCGTTAGATTCTTACAAATAGATTGAAAGAGAGAGAAAGACTAAAACCTTTCAGAAGATTCTGATGGTGTTTTATCATCCGTGTCTTTAACACCAGCTTCTTCGAATATTTCAGAGATATTTTCATCATCCAAGAGATTATTGTATGTATCAATATGTGAAATCGTTCCTCCTTTATAACAGTTAAATGGTTGTGTTATCGTTATGGTAATCGGAATTACCTCTCATTACAGCTATCTGATCACATTCTTTGAGGAATGACAAACCATGCGTTACAAGAAGTCTTGTCTTCTTACATAATAATCCATTCGGACCAATTACATGATGGAAAATGTGTCGAGCAACATGAGCATCAACGGCTGATAATGGATCATCTAATAAGTAAACATCCCTAAAGTTCAAATTCGTTGATAAACATTCAGGTTGAGGGCTACACACCTATCCTGATAAATTGCTCTAGCTAAAGCTACGCGAGCTTTCTGTCCTCCGGATAGATTAATTCCCTAAACAATGAAGACTGAGAATTATTGAGGTTTGGTATAGAAACCTTCTCTCCTATTTCCGTGTAATCACCATTAGGTAAGTTGGCAATGTCAGATGTCAAGGAACAAGCCTACAAGCATTCAATCGTTTTCATTTTGAAAGTTTGTGATATACCTCAATGATGTTCTCATAGACTGCTTTGTTATAAGGAAGGCCCATAGTAATATTTTCTCTCAGTGATCTCCAAAAAAAACATAAAGGAAGTTACTGAAAACAGTTCAACCTGTTCTGAATCCATGGCTGTTGTGGAACGTAAGCCGCCATTCCTCGAACACCAACATAACCGCGAACTTTCTCCATTTCTCCCAGCAGAGCTGATAACAGTGAACTTTTTCCCGAAGCAACAGTACCAATAATAGCAATCAACTGTCCTGTCTCTACATCCAAATTTATGTTTTGGAAAGAAGATGGAGCGTTTTCATCCCACATGAAAGCAGCTTCATCTATTTCAATTGCTTTATCGGACCCTGAGTAAAGTCAAATGTCAAAATAACAGTTTAAAAGTTAAGACAAACCTTTTCCTCTTAACTGATGATCTATATCCTCAGGTTTGATTTCCGGAGCAGCCAAGAAATCTTTGAGCCTCTTGTTGGAGACTATGCACTAACACGTATGATAAAAGACGACGTTTTCTTAATACTCACTTGAATAGTTTGTTGGACCAAATCAGCAGTCATAAGCAGCGGTCCTCTGAGTTGATTGAATAACGTAATTGAAACAAAAGCAACTTGAGGCGTTAGAATGTGGGTACTATCACTCAGAGTGAACACAGAGAATGAAGCCAGTGAAACCTGCAAAGTCATGATGTGTCACATAATATGTACGAAGCTTACAAAGAATGGTGCAGCAATATTCATCATGTCAGCGACTGTTTTAACAATAGAAGCTTTTCTGATTAGATCCATTTCTTTTATACGAACTTCATCGATTGCCTTCTCTAATGCTGGCTCCCAAGCATACAGTTTCACAACCTATTATCAAACATATTCGACTGTCGACAACAAATGTCGTACCTTGATTCCATTAAGAACTTCATTTGTAAGTCTGATGCGATCATCTTTCAATTTCATTTGTTGAACTGTCCATAGTTTACTTACCGTGGAAAACTTATAATTGACAGGTATAATCATAATCTGGAAAGCACAATATTCTGAAGTATTTCTAACTATCGAAACCATAACAAATAGCCCTGCAAACACAGAATATCCAATCGTTCGATATAACAACACCATCAATATTAGAACCTGAAAAATAAAAATATAGAAATGAAGAAATGGAATAGAGAATGAGTTTGAGACAACCGTTTGTTTCAAATTAAACTTCCGAATGAATCAGTGTACTTGAAGTTCACGTGTATTAAACGTAATGATGCCAAAGCGGCTCCACGTGAAACTCTCGGATGACAATATGCTAATTAGCTTGCCTGTGTGGGACCGGTCCAATACAGTTGCAGCTGTGGCGTGATCATTCTGAACCTATCAACATCAATAGCCATCAAGTTCACAATTTCTCCATGAGTTTTCATACGACGAGAAGCATTTGAAAGGAGTAATGTCTATATTGGTATGTTCAAATATGAATTAAGCTCCATAAAAACCTTCTCATACACGGCAGTAGTGAGTACGGCTTGAACTTGATTTCCAATTCTTCCGTTACGATAGTTAAAAGAATTAACGAATAATGAGCGAAGTTCAGCACAAATAAACAACAGTATGGCGTAAAAGACACCCAAGTACCAAGGAGCTAACTCGTCTTCAGTGAACGCAATCAACAAGCTGAAACAACATGATTTCTTCAGGATCAACTCTTCTTGTGAACCTTAAGAAAAAGGGATTTGCTAAATTCATAAGATCTGCAAAGAATCTAAGCAATGAACTTCCAATTAGCTGCCATTTGAACATCGGCCATAATGACCAAATGATAGAAGGCAGAGGAACTTCTTCTTCAACAATATCTTGAAAAACGTTTTTTCAGTTTCAACTTTTGAGTATCATCAGTACCAGGCTTCCTCACTTTGTCATCGTTCGCCCCATAGCTTTTTGCGGCACCTTTCGAACCTAACAAGGAACCTCTATCTGACATTTCTCCTCGAGATAGATTGAATGCCGTTTTTCGGCATTCGTAATCTATATGAAAAATTGAAATATTTTTCTTTCTGTGTGAAAGTAGAGCAAACCTTTCAAGGCATTTCCCCAATGTACTTTCCATTTTTTGGTTAAACTTTCAGGCTGCATCTCATCGTCTAATTCAAACAAATCTTCAACCTTCAAAAGATTTTCTGTTCGTCATCAAATCTATGAGAGGAATTTATAACCTCTAAAGGTTTTTCTCTTCCTTTCGAAATGATAGGATTCATCCACCAGAGAAACGTTCTATTGAGGAAAGATGCTGTTGCTTCAGGACAATTATTCTGAGAATCATTTTGTAATGAGACGAGTCATGAACGAAACTGACCTCATCTTTACCAAAGATAGTCAACGGATCAGAAAATAGATGAAAGAATAGTTGAACAATCAACATCGCATAGTAAACAAGAAAAGCCACAAAACGGGAAGAGCTGCGATTTGAAACAATCTGCCAGAAGATTGATTTGAATATGAAGTCAAGTTTAAATGTTAACATCAGGATTAGGTGCCATAGTTATCCAAACAACAAGTTCTGGAGTTCCACAAATAACAAATGCCAGCCATGATAGGAAGAGAGTGCCCGATGAATGTATCCCAGCTTTCCGTACTTCGTTCATACTTATCATCATTGAAATCTGATTTCGTTTGTTTTCCTTTCTACTATATTATGTTTACCATTGTTAGGACCATCACACATGGATATATGAATTCAACCAACGGTACTGTTTTACCGAGAAGAAAACGATCCCAAAGAGAGACGACGAACAGAAAGCTCATGGCTACAAGAATTATACTTGAAAACAGCTGGAAGCAAACATAAACTGTCTATATTTCTCTAATACATCTTAAGTTACCCATTTCAATCCCTGTAATGTCGTGAATGGCAGAGATGATCTCGTAGAATTCTTTATTTGGATTATGAGTTTAGGAACTTGTAACCAAAAAAAGAGACATGGAATAGCTTAGAAAGGTTTTAATATCAGATTTTCAATAACTTAATTTACAAACCAATTAGAGCTGTATGAGAGAAACATTCAGTTGGCAAAGGAACAGATGTTTTATTATAAAATGATTGAAAATCCTTCTGGAAGTACGTTCAATGTTTGATGTACTACTAACTCCCTTACCCATGAAGATTCACCACAGAAACCATTCAGTTCAATCATATATTTTTACCTGTAGAAAGTAAAAATATGATTATAAGTCAACAGTGTATCTTATCAAAAAGCATTCTTATAAGAGAAGAGAATAACAGAAAGAACATGGATATGATGAAATATATTTCGAAAATCTATGAATTAGTTTTCGATGAAACGATTTGAAGATTGAAAGAAAAAGAAAAAAGAGAGAATGGAAAAGGAAGAACATGAAAAGAGAATGTGATTGTGAGATGAAGAGGAAAGCAAACACAATCCTTGCCGTGTAACGAAGAGTCAAAAATAGAAAAGTTGCTCTCACGTAAGCAAAGCGTGAATGAGAGTGATTTTTGAAAAAATGGTCGGAAGGCGAGTGGGGATGCCCTCATAGAGTAACAATGATAAGATAAATAATAATTATAATCGGCTCTTCTCTGTTATTCCCCCCCCCCCCTGCTCCGCCCCTTTTGCCGTTTGCGCATGGTCTTGGTTTTTGTAGAAAAAATGCTTAGGTATTCCTCATAAAATCAGGTTAGACTTCTTTAAAAAGGCTTAGGCTTGAATATAACGCTTAGGCTAGATATTCATAAGGTACGGAGGGAAGAGAATTAACAGACAAGAACCTTATAATCTCATATGAAAGTTAAGTTTATAAAGAAGTGATGTCAGCTTATGTGGAGAGACAGAGTGCAGAGAGAACAAGAGCTGAAAAGAGAACAAAGTGACGCTGGTTCGTTCAATATATACACACACAGAGGCATGTTATCGGACAAAATTTTTTTTAAAGATATAATTAACGTTGCGAAACGTGATTTTGGCCTGGTCAGAAAAGACCATATAATATAGAACAGTTGTTAAGTGTGAAGAGATCAAGTTGAAGATATACTTCATTTGCATATTCAGATTTGAACAAGATGGTTTTATGGAAGTGATAAGGTAGAGAACTCAATGAAGTACATTCAAGTATACATTGAATATGAGATTGTAAGTTGATGAAAAAAACCAAAGAAAATGAGCTATTACATAGTTCCACGACTGTCTAACGGGGAGTTGCAGGTGGAAGAGTGGCAGGTTTGAAGCTATCAAGAAATCTTATGATCAAACAATATATTTTAATTTAGTAATATATACAACACTCCAAATGGAGATCTGTCAACGATCGCTGAATTTGTTTCCAACGTTTTCGACGACAATCATTCATTTGACGAACTTTTGTGTGTGCGTGTCTGTATGTGTGTTAAACGTTAAGGAATTTTGATTGAAAAAATGATGTGTGAAGTAAGAAGTATTGCGAAATGGCCGCAGAAAGGTGAAATATCTAAGAAAAAAAGCATTCCTTTTGAAAGTACAGTTAATCTTCGATGTACTACCTCTTGTACCCAACACGATTCACCACAGAAACCATTCAGTTCGATCATATATTTTTATCTGTAGAAAGTAAAAGATTCATACCCTAGATCCACCTTCAGCGTATCTTTTGCCGGCAACTGATCAGCTTCTGGTGAAGAGATAGGGTACCGGAACTTGCTCAGAACTGGCATCTTATCCACTAATCTACTGGCTTCCAAACACACGATTTTTATTTAAATATTAATATTATCAATCAATGACCGAGGTTGTTCCTTACACTTTCATATGTATACGGAGCAATACAAGAAACATGACTGTTCCGCTCTCTCAACTCGTGTAACCCAAGTCATCTTTTTTTTTTACAGGAATCTCTTGATGGCAAATATAGGATATGTCTTTCTAGGGGTGTGGGGTACTTAAATCAAAAACATTCAAACTATTGGATAATAAAGGCTCCCCGAGCAACCTCTGCTCACATTCTCAGTCATGAAAGATCCTGATCCTGTTTCAAAATGAATTCAAATTTATTAAATTTCACCTTTTCACTCTCTTTGAGGTGAGTTTTGAACATGTTCCGAGAGCTTGTAAAACAACTAACAACTTTCTCAAGTTTCAATAACAATTTAATCGTATTCTGCATCTCCGTCCAGGAATGTTTTTTCGAGAGCTTTGGGCTCCTTGGCAATACTTGCGAAATCTTTGTCTGAAAATACACTTTTTCCTTTAGCTTTGGCTGCTTTAGATGGTTTCTTCGGATCTCGTAGGCCTAGATGAAAACGATGAAAAAAGAAAAATATCCTTAACATACAAGTTATTTTGTCTCTACCGGCTCTAATTTGATCTTTTTTACTCAAGGTACCAAAGTGATGCTTTAGAATGTGTGAAACCTTCAATACGCGAATTGCATAGGTAGTCAGAAATGAGTACAAACCTTGCCTTCATCTAACTTTCGTTTTTCCATGAATTTCATATATCGAATATTCCGTTGTTTGAGATCTTTTGGCTTTTCATCTCTTATTTGATTAATTAAAGAATATCCCTGTAAAAAGAAAACATTCGTGAGTAAATCGTATCGAATGTTCAAGCTTACTTCATGTGCCCGCTTAACGTTGATACCCAAGTCGGACACTTTTCTCTTGTCTTTCTTAGACTTCCTCTCTACCAGAAACTTTTCATCATCACCTAGTTCAACCTTAACTAAAAGTTAGACGCTTGCTACAGCAACAAACCTGACCCCTGTTAGCAGCAGTAAGGATAGATTGGGCTATGGTGACGTTTAAAGATCTTTTTTTCTTTTTATTACTTTTCCTCAGAAGTCCATCATCTGAGAACTAGAAATTAGACTATACCAACCTCTTCCCCTAACCTTCTTCAATAGATTCTTTTAGTTTCGCTAATAACTCTGCTGACATTCTGAACGATCAGTTTTGTACCAACATCAGTGCAAAAAACCCCAGGTAGTCAAGTTTACTCAGAACTTATAAATTAATAAAGATAAAATCACGAAAACAACTTTATATCAAGGATACAACAACAAATTAAGAGTTGGAGTTAGGTCCACGCTTCTTTCCTGGTCCGGTAGCGACGTTGAGGAAACGACGAGTGTATTGGATGCGACGAGCAGCACGACCTGAAATTTTCAACTAACAAAGCATGGAACTAACAACACAAACCTTGCTTCTTCTTTTTCTTTTCTTGCTTGTCAACCTTTGGGGTTTGAGCGCGGACCTTACCGGCACGAGCGAGAGAACCGTGAACTTTACCTGAAAAAGACACAAACTTTAAAACACGTTCACCATAAAATGCTACAAACCTCCCAAAAGTCTAGCATTGATAGCCAAGGAAGATCCGTTGGTGATATCAAGAGAGAAAAGAGTGGCAGCTCCGTTATCGAGGATCTTGGATCCGAAAGAAAGGATTTCGTCGGAAGCTCCAATTTGTTGCTGAAAACAATATGTATACGAAATAATTCATTAACAATAGTCACCTTCAAATCGGCAACAGTGGTTTCTGGAGCCAAATCGAATCTGTGGAGTTCTCCATCAAGGGCGTTGACAAAGATCTGCATGATTACCTAATAGGAAACATTTAATATGGGCAAAAAAAATGAAAACAGTTTATAAACGTTAGAAAATCAAGCGGAAAAGGGGAATAAACACGGATCCGAGAACCGAATATGAAGTGTAAATGCAAAAATGGAAGGAAATCAATAATAGCAAGATGACATAAGTAATAAACAAACAATTTCTTTAAAAACAAAAAAATTAAAAGCATAGAGATTTTAGGAAAACCCTCGACCCCCATCGTTTCACCGAGCAATGGAATAGCTTTGCGTCGTAACATCAAATACTCAGCCAATACGCAGGGAATCTTATTCGCATTGGAGCGCGTTGTAATATCTCGGTCTGTTCTCGCATAGAGATAAGTCGCCATACGATTTCCATAGACTTTTCATGTATAATGGAACGAATAGTATCCAAAGCCCAGTTTATGTTATCAGACAATGCGTCGATGTTACTTTTACTTCCTTTCCAGT